CAGGTTTAGATGTAAATGCTAGTGTTTCAGTCTTGACTGATATATATCCTGGTTTCTACAAGAAATATAAGAAAAGCTTGGTCAACTTTGAGGTCAAAGTTATAACTTAACAGCCCACATTTGTTTTCCTGAATTTTTCAGGGGCAGCATTTCTGGCCATCACAACAGTCTATGCAGAAAGCGGATCTGGGTTTGTAGTACCAAGTGCTTCTGCCAAAGCAGGTGTAGATGCCCTGTGCAAGTGAGTACTACTTAAAAGTGTCAAGTGCCAAAAAGGTTACGCGTAAACATTGCGTGTGTGCACACGCGCCCATCGGGGCTGCGCTTTGGAAAAGCCAAGCTTCCAGGTTGTAGCGTCTAACAATCAGCTGGCTGGCGTGCATGCACAGGACATTTTTGGCACTGCTGCACGCACGAAGATCAGCTGATTGTCATGCGCACCAGAAACCCAAAAGGCAAACAGGAAAGACCACGTGTGCTGGGTGACATGTCTTCGTGTGCCACTTTGGGCATGTGTGCCATAGGTTCGCCATCACAGGTCTATACTTTTCACTGTAGAAATGCAGTCTGTGCTCATTTAGCAGCCTTACATTTAGCAGCTATATTAATCTCTGGATGCAGAATATTTAATTAATCTCTGATGATTTCTAGGTCTCTTGCAGCTGAGTGGGGTAGATACGGCATGAGATTCAATGTGATTCAACCAGGTCCAATAAGGACAAAGGTACATTATCGCCCATTAAGAAATTAACAGTTCTTTGCAGTGATCAGAAGCACTGCCCCACACGGGGTTGGATATGGATTTAATTCCACTTTGTGGCAAAACTGTGCCCATAGTAAGCCAGTGATTTGTTTAATGATTGTGAATTGGCTTAACCATAAAGACCACAAAAAAGACCACCAAAAAAAGTCGTAAAATTGGTTCGGTCAGATGAATGACCCAATTTACAACTATCCGGAGTTACAGCTGTGTTGTAAGTTCCTGTAATTGTGAGTGACCTTTTAGAAATGGGAATACTGTGGGAAGGGTGGAGCAGTGCTTCCTTGTGATTAATTTTTTTTTCTTTTACTGTTCTTTTTTTCTTTTGCCTTTCTTTGCAAGCCACAAATCCTTTTTTTACAACAATCATTTTTTCCCTGCCTCCCCCCGCCCTCCCAGGGAGCCTTCAGCCGCCTGGACCCCACAGGGATCTTTGAGAAAGAAATGATCCAGAGAATTCCTTGTGGTCGCCTGGGAACTGTGGAAGAGATCGCCAACCTTGCCACCTACCTCTGTAGTGATTATGCGAATTGGGTTAATGGAGCAGTAAGTTGATCCTGGGTGCATGAAGCTCACTGCTGCTGTTAGAAAAGTGTAATTACACCCAAGCGCCACCTGATTCCTTGAAGGGTTTTAGTTCCAGTATTTTTACGGAACTCTGGGCTTGATGAGAATGCTTTATGAGTCACTCTTTAACTTTTTAGAAACTACTTATGGCCTAGTGGAAAGAATGCTTTATGGGCAAATTTAGTACAGTTCAGTAAATCACAGAAATTGAATACTTTAAAGGTATTTTTCTCGTACAAAGGTTCCAATGAAATAAACTAATTCAATTGATAATTTGAATTTCTTAATGGAACAACCTCTGCATCAATCTTACAGGTCATTAGAATGGATGGTGGTGAATACGTGTCTATGGCTGGAGAATTCAATGAATTACGTAAGGTAATAATTTACAAGGAAAACTTTGTAACAAAAGGCTGCAAAATGGAAAACTCTTATTGGGTGTTGTAATCAGTTAATCCTGCCTTCCATTCTGTTATACTTCCCATCATATTTCTCTCTTTCCTCCTCTACCTCCAGGGTGGATTTGGTTTAAATCAAGTAGATTTAAATCATAATTTAAATTACTAGTAAAAAGGCTTGATTTAAATCAACTCGATTTAAATCATAATTTTTAAAGCGCGACTACTGCTCTGTTGACTCACTGACAGTCCCAATATTGCAGAATATACAGCCTCATGCTACATAACTACACTCCATTTTATGCTGAATAAACTAAATTATTAATGTATCTTAAATAGAAACTACCTTTAGATAGATTTTTACTCCCAAAGCATTTTATTAAAATAAATTTGATTTTAAACCGATTTAAATTTTAAAAAATCCATTTTAAATTTAAAAAATCATTTTTTTAAAAAAAAATCTATTTTTAACCACCCTATTTTTCTCCCAATGTTAGTTTTGATTCGTGGTTAAATATGTCCAGGCCTCCTGAGGCTATTGCCACTTCTATCCACCACTTTTAAGAATTATTTTTCCTCTTAACATTTTGATGTATTACTATATACTTTTGATTTGAGTACTAAGCTTTAAGTGCCATTGATTTCACTTGGAAAACTTTGAGGATCTGTTCTGCTCTGAGTACAATTTAAGAACATCATGTCCGCTTGGGTCATACCCATTATATCGACATACTACATGATGATAGTTAAAAAATCAGCATCTCAACTAAAGTGTTTTCTTTTCTATGTTAGGTCACCAATGACCAGTGGAATATCATGGAACAAATGATACGAAAAACAAAAGGTTCATAATTTACATTTTTGTGTGACTTTTTATATAGCTTCTTTCTAAATTTTTCTGTATTCTAGCAATAAAATGCACCGCTGCTGATAATTATCTGTATGTCCATGTGTATCCATTTTACATTCACAAACTCCAATGTTGCATTCTTTGTGGGCAATATTTTAACAGACATACACAAATTATTAAATGTTAATACATTAATAGTTTCTTTTTCTTTACGAAAAATCTTCGACTTAACCACAATTGGGTCCACAATTTCTATTATAAGTTGCTGAGGTTGTAAGTAAAGCTGGACCAGATTTTATGACAACTTTAGACAGGCATTAAACTAATCACTGCAATTATTAAGCCAATCATGCTCTTAAGCGAATCCAGCTTCCCCAAAGGGTTGGTGTTTTGTTTTGTTTTTTTCCAGAAATCATCAAAAAACATCACAAATCTTGGTCACAAGACCACAGGATGCTGCAACCGGTCATAAATATAAGACGGTTGACAAGTGCCTGTATTGCCATCATGTGATTGCAGGAGTGGTGCAATAATTGTAAGTTTGTATACAGGTGGGTTTCACTTACCTTCGCTAGTGGTTCTCAAATCTGAGCACGCTCATACGCACCATCTTCTGCGCATGTGCAGAAGATCGCACATTATGTCACAGGTGGGCGGAGCCTCCAACCACTTCCGCTACCGGTTAGCCCAAACTGGTAAGAACCGGCTGAATACCACTTCCGGTCATCACTCGCTTCCAAAGCCATTATAACTTTGAAACATTGTTAAATGGACAGTCATAAGTTGAAGACTGTATTATTGTTTATGGTCAGTAGTCCATCTTGAGTAACAAGTGGGTTTTTCACTTGTTTGAACTGTCTAGAATCTTAAGAATGGGAGTTGCCTCTGTACAAATATTACCATTTAATATTAGGCTTGTGAGATAGGACACTCTCTTTTCAGTCTACATTCATATTAAGTAAAAATCAGGCAGGTGTCCATAATTCTGAAGGAATTGCATTTGAATTACAATGATAACATATAAAATTATTGTAGCTACAGCATTGGTAAGGAAACATTTTTAAAACATACTTTCTATGATGAAAAACAAAGATACATTTGCTTGGGCTGTAAGAAGCATCATGCTGCAGTCTACATTTTTGCCATATAATAAAGGAATTGAAGAAGAGGCAGGGATTAAATCTGAATGCGTCTACGTTTAGAATAGAAATTAAAGTTTCTAATAATATCTTACATTGACAATATTGTAAGGAGCAGTGTCCACTAGAGGGAACCATAACACAATATTCTAGTTATAAAAGCCTGAAAATATTTGAGTTTGTATCACATGATTCTTCATTTGAAAACACCAGCAGATATCACTGATGCAATGAATTAAATTCACATTCCATCTTGAGTTGATGCTGTTCTGATTCTTTGATGCTGACAATTATTGGAATGCATCCTTGAACTGAAAAAAAAATGCAAATGTTGGCAGAAACATTTAACATGATCACCTTTTGGAAGTTATAGGGAGTAACAGTTCCTTTCATTCCAATTTGGCATTGAGAACATTGGAGATAAACTGGATGGCTCTGAAATCTGATGTGTTTGTTGGTGTCTGCTTAATGCACAACTGCTGAATTCTAATTTTGTCACAGACTTCTAAGAACAGAATGTGGTGAGGCAGGTGGGACAAGATTCAGTTCTCAATAATTGACACCATATTGTATAAAGTAAATAATCTGTAAAAGAAATCTTAAGCTATTATGCACTGCTTAAATTTGGACCACATTCTTAAGGTCAGTTGGAGCATTTTCACATGCTTTAACTTTATTTGAATTGCTATTTTATTGATTTGTGCTAATCCACTTGATTGTGTGTGTGTGTGTGTAATGATTTAATAAAGATGTACTGCATAAAGCCAGAAATAGATTAATTCTCTAATCAAAATAAATATATATGAAAATCCATCCTCAGAGCAGGCTTATTTTGTCTAGCTTGGCACTGTCTAATTAAGGGGAAAACATGTGGCCTTTCTTGTGTTGTTATGTCATGGCCAGAAGTAAACATAAAAATGTTTAAAGACCACCGTTGTATACCCTTTATTCTAAACAGGTCTCGGGGTTTCAGTTAGGAATCTTTCTCAGCCCTACCTGCTAATGCCCTATATAGATTGTCAACCCTGAAGCTGACCTGACTGAGGCCATTTTGAAGCTTCAGTGTTGCCATACTGGAGCTGAGAGATAGGGAGGAGGAATAGAGATAGCTGGGGTTTGTAGCCAAAACAAAATACTTTTTCCTGGGAACCAAGGACATTCCCACAGAGAGAGGAGTGAAATTACCAGGCGACACCTTGATTGGACCATATGACTGATTGTTTGGGGAAGGAAGAAAACTTTTGTTTTTAATTAGATAAAAACCACGGGAACATTCAGAGTCGGTTTTCACCAGCCTGCGCCAATGTGATATATCCAATAAAGCTATTCTTTGAGGAATTAACCTGTCTCAGAATTCTATTTGCTATGGTTGTATACTTGAAATCCTGACATAGCTCTTGAAAATTTGCCTGAAAATGCTTTCCATCACTAAGCTAGTGGTTTCCTTGGATGACGACATAAAAGGAATAATAATAGTGCTGGGATCATTCTTGAGAACATAATTTATTTTCTTTTATGAATATGATAATGTGTTCATTTGACACCCAAGAACAGCGATGCAAGTGAAAAAGACTAGAGAAATGATGATAGCAAATATGGTATACAATGTATGACTGTTACCTTTACGTTTTCAACTCCACTTTGAGCTGATCACATTCATAGAATAAGATTTTTTTTCTTTCATGTAAAGAGTTGGGAGGGAACATCCAGCAAAATATACATATATCCTTATGCTTTAATTTATAATAAAATATACTAAGATTAATTGGTAATTAATATTCATTGACCTAATTTCTCAAAATTCATAGCAGCTGCTCTTATTAAATGCCACTGGGCTTTGTAGCCACACAGTATTAACAAAAATTAGGGCATGTATATTTAGATGCTTAATTATAGATTCATCTTGAGTAACATTTGAGTCAATTAAGATTGATATTTTGATCAATAGGAGTATTAATCCTGTATGAATAAATATCTACCGTGGTAAATAAAAGGAATATTCTGTAAGATGAGCTTTTTCAAAAGCCATAATTATATATCAAGTGACTTACTGATGTCTGATATCATTTCCAGTTAGCTAAATGATTGTAGCTTTATCTCTTCATAGTATTCCTAAATGCTAATAAAACAGCCCCATAACCATATGAAGCTGCCTACTGCTGAAATAGTATGCAAATCCTTTGAACAGGCAACAGCCCTTACAAGTTACCATTATTTAAATGGTTAATGCTTCAAGTAGAATTAAGACAAGAACTTTCTGACCTGATTAAGTAATAACCTTGATGCAGTAACCTTTCTGATAAGAAACACTCATAATGGTAGTATAAATTAAAAAAAACATACAAGCACTTACTAATTGGATCTCATTGGTATCAATGAAATGTACATTCTAGTCATATGGTACCAGTAGGAAAAAAATGCAGCCTTATATTAAGTAACTGTCTTTGAAAATATATTTAAAGGAATTGAATGATCAAGAAAACATACAGTAATAAAGTAGATGCATTACAAGTTAAATCAACACTAATACAGACTTGGGGATATTATCACATTTGTTTGGAAGTTATGTAGATTGGATGCAATGAATAAATTTCAGCCCAGTTAATATACAGTTTCCCAAAAAGGATTAAAATAAATGAATGTATGAAGATTTGATAAACAATATTTAAAATGTTTTATATAATGACATTTGAATTGATATGATTGAGAGTCAGCCTCTATAGCTTCCTTTTGTGATAAGCAGGTAGTACAGTGTACTTTTATTGGATTGTTACAACTAAATGACACAATCCTACCCAAAATAATTAAATGGAATTTGTGATGTAGGTATGTATAGAGTCAGACACATGTTTTCTGTGTTCCTTGTGTCATTTCTAGGTTAGGTACAATACATAGATGATAAAGCAATTTTATTTGCACTGAATATGCCTCAACCACTTATAAAAATTAGGAGATAAATCGACTATTTCTTATGGAAATTGGAGAATTTCCTAGACTTTGGAAAATTAATTGGGTTGTGGCTTGATCCATGCGATTGTGGAGCCTTTATCATCTGTGATAGAACAGAATATCAAACAAATTGTGTACCAGTATATTAGCATATGAAATTTAATTATAGATTACATAAAATTATGTAAAAATAGCAGTTTGCAAGAGTTGTATTATGCAAAATGTGGAAATAGCTTTAGAAAAATGGACTGACATTCTCTGACATAACAGCATTTACAAATGCTAAAGATTGAAAGTGAAATATGAGGCAAATTTGTGTATTGATTTTTAACTGATTAAAAACATGCCATTTGTCCAGTAAAAATACAATGTTGTTCTTGCCAGGCAACAAGGAAGCTTAAAAACTTCTCAGGAAGTTCAGCACCTTCACACCCAGAGCCTCTGTTTGACCTTGGTAGTGAATTTAAGGAAGCTGGAGAACAAGACATTTATAACATATTGGAAGTTGACTTGATCATAGTAAACCAAAGCACTGCTGATGTGTCTATGCCCAGATCTTTTCTCGACTGAAACTGCTAAAAATGAAATTCTTAAAACATTTCTCAATGGTTTCTGGCATATTTAGATATGGGATATCTCCTAAAAAGAGGTGACTAGTCATTTTGGACTGATTGACTTATAGTACACTTGACAAAAAGGCTGACCATCACTTTCTAGAAGATGACACCACCAAATGATTCTGGTGGATCCCAACAGCCTCCCTCTTATCCGTGTGCTACATTCCTTTACAAGGAAAGGAAGGAAAAGGAAAAAAAAGAAATTCCCCATTATCCAAAACTGATTTTGAATGTGTGTTTCTTTCTGACATTGTCAAAAATCTATTTGCTTTATGGAGACCTAGCCAATACCAATCTCAGCTGTGCTCTTAAAACTTTCTCCCATGTCTCACAGAAACAAAGCCATGTTTATTGGTAAATGCATTGACAGACTGGCCCAGGGTAATTTAAGACATCGTCTTTAGTTACAAAAGCTGTACATTACGAACATAGTAGAAACAAGCTGAAAAGAATGTGCCACATAACCTGGCTAATTATCTATGTGCAATTTTAAATTTACAAAGTATAAAAGAAATAAAGCCTACTCTCTTATAATGCACAGTTAATTTTGTTTTGTTTTATTTTTTTTAAGATACAATATATCACTAGTTGGAGTGGAAATGAGAGATGGTCTCTTAATTTTCCCCAGCGCAGAGGATGAGAGCAAGTTCTGTCCTGTAAAGTTTTCCTCCATCGGACAAGGCCATAATGTTCTTCTTGTAGGTTGCAAGGTTATTGATATCTAATTCCTGTTTTTTTTAAAAAAGAAAATGCATTTTAAAGCCACTAGATAGCATTCCTCTCAACTTGACATCCTCCAGTAGTGTTGGATTGCATTTCTCACATTTACACCAACGTAGTTGGGAAGAGGAGCCGTTGAAAGGAGTCAGTTTAGAAATGTTTGCCAGTGTGAGAAGCATTACTGTATTTTTCAGAATATAAGATGCACCTTTTTCCCTCAAAAAAAGAGGGCAAAAATCTGACTGGGTCTTATACATTGAATACCGCTTTTTTGGCCTCCTGAAACCCCACCCCCTTTGCAAAAAGGGGATTTGTGAGGCTTGCAAAGTGTTCCTGGGGGCTGGGGAGGGCATAAACGAGCGAAAAATGTTTGTTTGTTTGTTTTTGCAATTGTTATGAATTCAACTATTGCAGATTATAAACCCTGCTTTAGTGCAATAGGCAGATAGTCCTCAATTTACAAATGAAACAAACAAAACATTTAAAAGTTATGACCAGGCGCATAGACATTATATTAAAGTAATCAAAATATCTTTACCGTCCCTAAGGCATGTCACGACTTTTGAGCAGCCCTAATGTTTGAAAGTTGAAACATTTGACACACCCTGTCAGTTCATTTAGTGACCGTTCAAAGTTACAACGGCACTGAAAAAAATGACCTATGGCCATTTTTCACACTCATGATCATTGCAGCATCCCCATGGTCATGTGATTTACATTCGGATGCTTGACAACTGAGTCACATTTATGACTGTTGCAATGTCCCAGAGTCATGTAATCTCCTTTTGCGACCTTCTCACAAGCAAAGTCAAATTCATCTAAGTAATTACATTTAACAACTGCAGTGATTCACTTAATACACGTGGCAAGAAGAGTCGTAAGATGGGTCAAAACCCACTTAACAATTTTCTCACAACAAATTTGGGGCTCCATTGTGGCCGTAGGTTGAGGACTACCTATATTAAGCAATCCACTGTAGGTTTTTTAAAAACGTTAATAGCTAAAAATCCCTACTGCTTAGCATAATAGTCCTTTGGCAGGTGAGGATTATTAATTTATGCATTTGTTTAATTTTTTTCATTTGCCTCTTGGGTCACAGTGCACACAACCAGTGATGTGGTGCCAAGGATTGGATTTCTGGGCTGGGACAATCAAATCAAAACATTTGTGTTAATAAGACTTCATGCACACATTTTCAAATTTATTTTTTGCAAAATGTGCAAAAGAAAATACTTTTGTAGGAGCAAAGAGCAAAAAAACCCATTATTTCACTACAGAATTTTGGTTAGGGAACCCTGCCCCAGGAGTGACATTGTACCGTACCGACAACTGTGTTTCCATTCTTTTGTCACTAAGTGCATGTTCCATTTTACTATGAATTAACTACCAGGGGTGTTGCTAGATATGGATTTCTTGTTTGACATTTATGGTTGTGTAAGGGAATATGGTTAATTGCTGTTCCCTGAGGGCTGCTTGAAAGAAAATAGTGGAAAGGGGTTTGAGAAAAGAGCAGCTATTTTTGTCTCTGTTAAGACAGAGCATTGTGTGGTCCTTTTTGAATTTATTGTTAATAGGTATTCCGTTCAAAGAAGGAAGACACCTACTATACTTTCAGTCTGGGGATACATCTAAGAGAAGTGGTGGCTGTTTTACTAAACCAGTGATGCGAATAGGTTAATGTAGGAGTAAACTGTGGTGCCTGGTATTACATATACAATTTCATTCCTTTTGTATCCAGAATTCTAAATATAGGGCATTTCAAAAGAATTTCTTGAACTGGCCAGACTTGGGAGGAGAAAAAGACTCATTAAGTACAATTTAAATGGAAATCTTAAAATTACCTTTTTATTCTTTTCACAGAGATCTTTTAGCAAAGCATCTAATTCCTGTTCATCTATGTAGCCATTTGCATCCTGAAAAGAAAAAAAAAACACAACACTTGAATTTTTCTATTATTCATTCCTGCTGCTTTCATTGACTTGTTGCAGCTTAGAAATACATTAAAAACTTTGATTCACAGACTTTATTTTTTAAAAAAATTCTACTTACTGAATCAAATGTATCGAAAACTTTATTAAATTCCTTTCCACACATTTTAATACCCTAATATTCAAAAGAAGGACAAATATTAGAACAGAAATGAATCAAGATTTCAATATATACAGTATATACAGAACACTTTTAAATAGGCATACCTGAAATTTAAGGAGAAAGTTTTCCTGTACTGGCAATAACCTTGGGAGAAAACAAGAGGAATTTAGAACAATTCCATAGTGAATAAAGAAGCAGAGAACACAGGAAAGCAAATCATTTCAATGTTGAAATGCTTTGAGCTTGAAACAACAGTTTGTTAGGGTTATTTCAAGTTGAAAACATTAATGTTTCATTGCAGGTGTTTTCCACTGGAAATTATTTCCAGCTCACACCACTTCTTCAGTGAACAGCTGGTTGAACTCAAAACTGAGCATTTCAAATTGAAACTGTTTCTAGGTCAAAATACTTTGGCTTCAAAACACTTTGCACGCATACATTTCACTCCTTTTAAAGATTAACAGATGCTGAGAAAGCCAAATGAGCTGAAACTTCCTGTGTTTTGTAGACAGACCCTTTGAGAAGATAGGTTTTTTTTTTTTTAAAGTGTATTTATTTGAAGCATGGAATTAGGTAAATGGGTGACCTTGGGCCGGTCACAGTCTTTGTCTAACTCACCTCCCATGGTTGTTGTAGGGACAATAGGAGGAGGAAGATGTGTTGGATATTTTCACTGCCTTAAGTTATTTGTAATAATAATAAAGGAGTACTAACAAACATATTGCTGGGAGTAGAGGAGGATATTGCTAGCTGGGCCTAGAAGTGCTGTTGTTTCTTAGAAGCCCTCATTTCCTTCTTCTCAATGTCAAAGAACAGTGCATGTAGACATTGGAACACTTGCTTGCTTGGGTTGACCTTTTCCACCCAAGGATGGACTGCTAAGTTTATCCTTGTAGGAGCCAGTCCAGCACAATCTACTGTATAGCACTTTGTACTAATTACCAGCATTTCTTTCGCCCACCCCCATTGTGTCATGTTCCACAACCAATCAATAGCAATAGCACTTAGGCTTATATACCACTTCATAGTGCTTTACAGCAGTGATATGCGGTAAGCTTTATGGCTGGTGAGGCAGCAATTTTTTTAGACTTGTGGACTTCAGCTCCCAGAATTCCACAGCCAGGCATGCTCAGGTCCGATTTAAAGCGACAGCATTTTTCCCCTTTGCAAAATAAGTTTTCCCATTCTTTTTCTTCTCCCTCCCCCTCCTTCCTCCCTCTCTCCCTCCCTCCCCCCTCTCTCAAACAGACACATGCACACAGAGAAGTTGGATCCCTCTCTCACTCACTCACTCTCAAACAAACAAACACAAGTTGGATTGGATATATATATATATTGGCAGCTCCTCTGCCATAGCCCCCCCCCTTCCCCTGCTACCTTCCGATCGGAGCCTTTGATTGCAGGCGAATCACGTTGCCTTTTCAAACTTGTAATCAGTGAAGCTGGGCTTATATACTTTTATCCAGCTGTGTGTGTGTGTGTTTGAAAAGGCAACGTGGTTCTGCATGCTCTCCCCACACAGGCACCTTTTCCAGCTGTTTCAGAGAGGATTTCAACTCTGCTTTTGCCTGCCCTCATGAAAGGCCAGCGCTCTGAGTCAGACTGAGCTAGTTGCTCCCAGAGAACTCTAAAAAGCCTCTAAAAATGCCCTCTACAGGAGGCAAGAGAACACGTGCCTCCTTTGCATACGAAATTTTTCGCTTTTTAACCCTTGTTTAACTCTTAAAAGGCGAAAAATTGCTTATGCACAGGAGGCCCAAGTTCTCCCGCCTCCTCCTAACACTAAGCAGACTCCAAGTCACTGTGACTTGGAATCTGGCAGCAACTACCTTGGCTTTAATTATTTTTTAAAAATTACTTAAATTCTTTCCTTTTCCTCATGACTGGTGAGGCCACACCTCCCCTGCCTCTAGTGACTGCACGTCCCTGCTTTACAGCCATCTCTAAGTGGTTTACAGAATCCACTTATTACCCCCAACAATCTGGGTCCTCATTTTATCCAAAGGATGGAAAGATGAGTCAACCTTGAGTCTGGTGGGATTCAATCTGCCAAACTGCTTGCAGCTGGTGATCTGCAGAAAGTAGCCTGCAGTACTGCACTCTAACCACTGCACCACTGTGGCTCAATGATATTTTCTACCTTTTTTTCCTCCAAATATTCTTACCGGGCCATTTCTGTCAGTTCCAGCTTTCCATCATTGTTTTCATCAAACATCTTGAGCTGAAAAAATTAAGTTATAATCTATAATAAGTTTATTTTTTTAAAAAAAATCAACCAGAAGGGGAAAAGTTTGACTAAAAGCATAGTCCCCTCATATTTGGGAAATACCGTATTTTTCAGAGTATAAGATGCACCTTCCCCCCCTAAAAAGTGTGGAAATGTTGGTGTGTCTTATACACAGAATACAGCCATTTTTGGCCTCCCAAGGCCTGCCCCCGCATTTCATTTTTGTGAAAAATGAGCCATTTTTTGCAAAAACAGAGAGATTTTTTGTCTTCCCTCAGTCTCCAGCAGCCCTCTGCATACTTCATTAGGGCTAGGGCAAGGCAAAAACGGGGGCGTTTTTGTCTTGCCCTAGCCCTAATGAAGGGCTTGTCCCAGCCCTGCTAGCCTGCAAAGTGCTGCTAAGGGCTGACGTAAGGCAAACACTTTTCTTCTTACTTACATCTTTGAAATATTGGTGCATCATATAGTCCGAAAAATACAGTATGCTTATCTCGATGAAACCTAGTAGCCTCCCATGAAGTCATTGTCACCTCTTCAAATGTTTGGACTTTTAATGATGTGTACTTTTATTCCATCATATTCTTCAGCTTTTATATCTACATTTACATTTTGTTTTAATCAGGTTGGATCCCAAATTCTGGCGTTGAGTTCTGCAATTAAGCTTCATTGCTGAAAGCTTGGGAGATCTCCAAGAAAGTGTAGAAAGTTATGCAGGGAGAATTGCTAGTTGTCATGATGTTCTCCTCTAAAAGTCATCAGTTCCAAAGTCATTCTTTACATAGAAAAACACCTGACAATGCAGTCTTTTAGACTGATTTTCTAAGACATTTTTTGTAGTGATTAAGAATTTTAAGCCACTTTAAGTGTAGGTTCACAAAGGAAAGTGGGATCAAAATTAATATAAATGCTGTACAAATGTTAGACTTAAAATGGTAGAAACTAAATTTATTATTTATCCCGCCCTACCTCTCCAAATCTCCCTTCCAAGGCTCATTATGCCAAATTTTTCCCAAGGCCATGGCAGTTCACTACAACATTAATGTAGCTGAAACTATGTTATGTATATGTAGTACATGGCACTCCCAAAACTCTCTTGAGTTTTAATTGATTATCTCCAAAAGATTTTGAGAGCAGACTTTCCTAACATGATGTCCTCAACTCCCAAATTTCTCCACTGGGATGGTCATTGTAGACCAGTGTTTCTCAACCTTGGTAACTTGAAGATGTCTGGGAATTCTGGGAGTTGAAGTCTGGACATCTTCAAGTTGCCAAGGTTGAGAAACACTGTTGTAGACAATTCTGTAAATGAAATCCATGCAACACAAATGCACGAAGATGATAACAGACTGTTCTTATACATACAAAATGGAACTGCGTTATAAATGAGCCTGCTGGATTTCTTCAGTTATAATTTCAAACTTTTTTTAAATTGCCCATTGTTTATAAAGCCTATGGAGCCAACTAAATTGTAACTCAAAGGGTGAGGTAACAGACTCTAAATAGAGTTATGAGATATTATTTTCGGCCCTGTGTAGGTATCATAAAATTGGGTAAGGCAATTAATTCCAACAAAGAAATAGCAGTTCTTACCATAATATCTGTGTATTCTGATAGTTTTGAATCATCAATCTGTTTATTTGCTTTCTGCAGTAAATCTTTCAAAAAGTTCTGAAATGAAATTAATATATCAAAAAGCAATTCTTTGTCTGATCTATGTGTGGAAAAAAATCTTTTTCTTCTAGTTAATTATGAATACACAAATAATATTTTTCTTCACTTTTCTATTAAAATAAGGTAAAGGTTTTCCTTGCACATATGTGCTAGTTTTTTCCGTCTCTAGGGGGCAGTGCTTATCTCTGTTTCGAAGCTGAAGAGCCAACACTGTTCAAAGACATTTCCGTGGTCATGTGGCGGGCATGACTAAATGCCGAAGGCACACGGAACACTGTTATCTTCCCACCAAAGGTGGTCCCTATTTTTCTACTTGCATTTTTACATGCTTTCGAACTGCTAGGTTGGCAGAAGCTGAGACAAGTAACGGGAACTCACTCCGTTGTGCGGCACTAGGGATTTGAGCTGCAAAACTGCCAACCTTTCTGATTGACAAGCTCAACGCCTTAGCCACTGAGCCACCGCATCCCTTTTTAAAATTAAAATATAAAGGCTATAATCCTAATTCATGCATTCTTGAGGGTAAGAATCATTGACCTTAACAGATCTTCTTTCTAAGCAATCATGGATTGTCCTCTACATCTTTGAAATGCCAAGGACAGAAGTATAGTCAGTAACACTCATGCCAATTGGAAACTTAATATGTCTCCTACATTCCAGGTGCCTAGTCCTCTCAATGGGGATGATCAAGTCGATTAGTCTGCATGATACCATAATGCAAATCTAATTACTAGCATTATATTACAGAATAATTCTCCATCCAGCTAGTAGGCATAAGGAAAGCTTCTATTCCTGTTTATGTTATGAGTGTCACATAGTTGGGAGCTCAACCTCATTCCTCTGACCAACTGCTAGGCTTGTGAGTGACTTAAGGAATGTTGGTTATTTTGTGATTCAGGGTTACTTGAAGATGGTTGGAGGTAAGAGTACAAACAGCTTGCCTTATTTTATTTTTTATAAGGACAGAAGTCAAGCATTAGGGGAAAGGGGTACATAACCCATATGACTAAGTAGTACTGCTTTAGCACTTCCCCATCAACAAGTCCCCAACTTGAAGTTAGAATTTTGTTTCTTAAACACAGTGATTCTTTGAGTTGTAAATGTCATCAATTGAATGAGTTTCATATCCTGCATAGAGCTTTATGCAAGAACAGGACTCCCTTTGGGTAGCTGTATGCTGGGCATGCCTGAGACAAGCAGTAGGTGAGGTCAGAATTAATTTGGATAAGGTCATTTGTCATCAAACGCTCCTGATTTTCTCTGATACTGGTTTCTTCCAAGCAACAGGCTCTGGGAAAGGGACATCAAGCCCTTAGGAAAACCCTTGGCCCTTCCAAAAGTAATTTCAAATTAGATCACAGAGTATGCGTGACCCTAAGGCTACAGGCTTGCCATTCCTGATCAGTCAGTTCTGGCAGTGCCTGTTCTTTTAAATGCAGGTTCCATAATTAGTTAGCAGAGCCGAAGTTGCTTTCCTGACCTTGCAAGAAAACTTTGTTTCCCAGATGGGCAGCCAGTTGCCCTACTTTTGTGACATGATAAAATTCTTTATTAAGCTAGAAGTTATGAGAGCTGGGGAATTATGAATGCCAATCAAAAAAAAAATCCACATATGCTCATTCTAAATTTCTTGGTATTATTCTTGGTATTATTTTTGCTTTTAATAGGAATGGGCACAAGTGGGGAAATGTGTAGGAAATTCAGCTGGGCTATTCTAGGCTGATCATATTCTACCTAAGCAGAAGCCCATAATATTTTGATTATTCTATCTGAGAAAACTATGAAAGGTCTTAAGATCAGATGGAGCAGATAATTTGTGTGTATTTCCTTCGATCGGCTCTGGCAGTGTTTCAAAACATAATCTGTCCACTTCTTCAATCAGCTGTCAATACCCTATTTATTCATTCATCAAATTTATACAGCTGCCCATCACACAAAAATTTGGGGGGTTTTGACTTGGGGTGGCATAAAAGTATATAACGTGTTTTATCCAAAATAAGACAGGGTCTTGTTTTCTTTTGACCCCCCAAAAATAAGAACTTGGCCTTATTTCTGGGGAGGTCTTGTTATTTCTGAGGTGCAGGAGGTGGCGAGCATGGCCACCTCATGGCTGCTGCTTTGTTGCAATATTTTCAGGGAGGGCTTATTTTAGCACATGCGCTCAAAAACCTGATTGGGCCTGTTATCTAGGGAGGTCTTATTTTCAGGGAAACAGGGCATATTTAAAAATAACCAGGAAAAAATACAGTTAAATTGAGGGCAGCAGATGTTAACTATAATGGAACTTCCTCAGTACCTCACTCATCCCCTGGGATATCCTACTAGCATAACCTGGTTTTGAGGAACTTCCATAAATCAACAGAGATTGAGCTGGCCTCACTGGGTCTTGCCAAGTGAAGCTCCCTAGCAGACAGGATCCATAATATACTATTGCAGGAACTGATGTTATCTGATGACACTTGTTTGTCTATGCTCAGAAAAACAATTTTGCGGTAGGCCTTCTTAGTACAATAGTCATCCATTGTTGAAGAGGTTTATGCCAGTTGACATAATAAAAAACTGTCTATATTTCTTGGCATCATCTGCTTAGGTTATTAAGAAGTTCTATGCTGTATGTAGTTATATCTGGTTTTATTTGTTAATTTTATATCTTTATCAATATTTTATTATATATTTGTTGTTTTAGATTTGGCTGAAGGGCAAAATACCTTTAATAAAAATAAATCAATTCCTAGGCTGTACTGCTTCATGCTCTTGGAAGATGTAACTACATAGATGAATACCTTACCTTCACAGAGAAAGAAATATTTTTAAAGAACTTTAAGCTAGGGCCTATTTCTCTTTGATTTAGCTTTCTGTTTTCCCAGACAATGTTTATTCCTGCAATCCCATCAGAACAATGGTACAATCCAGAAACAATAGTATGTAGGCATTTATGTGTTGCAAAGCTGGTTTCAGAGAGTTTATATTAGCAAACATTCAGCACTAAAGCAATTGATAGTTGCATTCTGTAGGTTTTCCACTTTGGAATTACAATTTTTAAATGTTGCTGGTATCATACATTTAAGACAGAAATACCATAGTAAAATAAATTCTTAGATTGGTACAGCTCTGTTGTACTGTCTCTATTTTAAAAACTTTTTTCACAACTGCTTTCTGCAAATTCTTTTGATGTAGAATGCTCCAAATATTTAAGAAATGATTATAGAGATTTCCTTACCTTAAGCTCTTCAGCCTCAATATATCCACTATGGTCACTATCATACTTTCGCCATATCTGGAATTAAGAAAATAGCAACTGAAAAAAATTGCATACATCCATATGTAAAGTTTTACACCTTGTCAATGCAATTTTTCACAAGACAAAATTTATGTGGATTACCTGCATGAAATCTTCACTAGATTTCAGCTGCTGGCATCTAAAGAATAATAGGAAGTTCTCTTCTGTTGGCAGTACCTGAGCAAGCTGGAGGGAAAAAAATTAACTTCGATTTAGAATTATTCTTCTAATTAGAATAAAGTATAAATTACTGCACTATGTTTCAATAAGGAAAAAAGAAATATTTTCACACAACTATTTAGTAGCTTATAAATACCAGGAACAATCCATGAATAATTGATTCTGTATCCAGTACACTGAACTATCACATCACTAAACCGAAAGTATAAAATTATAAGAGTCCTAATGTGATTGATTTTGTTTTAGCTTGGTGCAATATGTTTATTTAGCTTTTACATTTGATAAGTGGCTAGCAGTGATATGTAAGATAGCCAAGAATCTTCAGCTTGTTGATCCAACCTGCACATTTCTATAAGACATTTAAATCAGTATTCTGCCTTACTAAATTTCTCCAATTTTCAAATGCCTGATTATCACAAATCTTAAAGTAGTAAGGATGTTTCATTATTAAGACAAGCAAAATAACTTTTAATATGGATTTGGAGATGAGAAAAGGATCTTCCAACTACACAGATACATTTTGTTTTTAAAAGTTTCCACTAATATTTTCAAATTTCAATAAGCTTCAGATAAAGAAGGAAGGAAGAATGATAAGTTCTACATTATATTCCACAATTTCCTTTAGATTATACCATTTGAGGAGTAAAGTACAGTTTCATAAAAAAACTGGGAGGAAGAAACAAGAAATTGACTTTTTAACAGTGGGGAAAAAGTGGGAAAATGAGTAAAGGATGGATGAAGTGAAGATTATTTGGAAAAATAAGTAACAGGAGTCTGAGAAGAAAGAAATAGTGCATTCAAGATCTTTTCAGAGGAGTATTTGCCCTTGGCTTATTTTCTTCTTCTTCCATCCAAGGAAGTGTTCTAATTTCAAAACAATCAATTATTTCAAAATCAAACAAAGTCGAAATGAAATTTGAAGAGTAATGTTAATATTTTGAGCTTTCTCCGATATTGGAGTTCCTAAGCCACTGACCTCAGTGGACAAAAATAATAGTCCTTCTTGGGGGGGTGGATTACACTAACATAAGATATAATGAGAAGAAAGGAACAAAAGGAATGAACATTCTGCTAATGCACATCTTGGCATCATAAAAGTCTTTGCCCATTTCCAGGACTCAGCAGGAGATCACCAATCTTTTGATATTTTATGATTTAGGTCAACTGCTATACTACACCTGGTAGAAGACTCAAAGTCAATGAGCTTAGAGAAATATTGCATTGTAGATTATCATGAAACAGTTGATTTATGCAGCAAGAATGTGCAAATGACTGTTTTACATACTGTGGTGTCAATTCCCTTCTTCCTCCTGCACTTCCCATGAAGTAACAGATGATTGACATGGTGCTTGGTGGCCTTGAAATCAAGCAGTTACAATCCCTACCTTGAGAACTGCTGGCTTCAGGTCTAAATCAAATCATCCAGTACACTATTTTAATATTGTGAATATTTTCTGTAACAGATGTCTTTTTTGAGAGTGACTGGAAAATGCCTCCCATAGTGAATCTGGATTATTTTCAGGAGTTGATTTCCAGAAATGTTACAGAATACTTGGTCAGCTCTTGGTTACTATTGTATGGCAGGATCCAGAAGCTTATTTTTCTTTCAGATGTTTTAAGACTCCAATTCCCATCGGCCTAACTACTATGCCAACAGTTTCTGTGGTGCAACATCTGATGCTGTAGATCCCTTACTTTGTCGTGCAGCAATGATCAAAAGATGAAACTGCACCATCTGAAACAGATCCCTAAGAAGGGACCCAAACTTTGTAAGATGGTCTGTTTCGAACCATCTTGTGGTCTTGAGAATATTGTATGTCACGATCATTGCTGCAAACTGGATACACATCTAGCAAAAATGATTTTGTATTTCAGAAAATAATTCTAATCCTCTTAAATATTCTCCTCTGGATTTCTTTATAGGACACACTTTTTTGTGTTTGCTTGAACAAAGCAAATCCCAAAGCAAACTGTTATACTTGATTGGGGAGCACAGATTTAAAATTTAGGTTGATCAAGATATGATAAAAGCTTCAGTTGCACTAATATTATGAAAAGGAGTAGATGGTATCAATATATCCTGTTTTAGTTTATGATGAAATATTAGTAATGCCCTTGCTAAGTTGCATGAATGGCAAGTAGAGACAGCACAACTAAGAGTTCACAGTTTGCTCAGAGGTATTGATTGAATATATATCAGGAAAACTTCAATCTACCGCCACCTCACTTCTATTTTATAAAATCATCTCAAGATGACATGGAAGTAACAAATGAGTTCACTTCAGAATGAGAACATCCACATAGGAGAAAAATAGATGATATAAATGGTACTCCTTCCTTTCCTCAGACTAGAGAACTATAATCTGACTGGGCCACAAGACAAAATATGGCTGTATAATCTTGCACCTTATTATTAGAAACCATTGTAAAATATACATATATTACAGTATATACATGTCACATATAACACCCTTACTCCACAAACTGCCCTGGGTCCAATTTGTTTCCAGGTCCAATTCAAGGTGTTGGTTATCAGCTATAAATCCCTACGTGGCACAAGACCAGGTTACCTCCAGAACTGGCTTTGTTCAATCTCAGCAACCAGTCTCAATTGATCAAGCATGGAAGATATGCTACTGATCATGTCAGTCAAAGAACTTTGACTGATAGGGTCTAGAACAGGAGTCACCAACCTTAAAGAGCCCCAAAGGCCGTAACTGGAAGCCCCCTGTTCAATTCTGGAGCTGACCAGAAGTCCAATTCCCCCACCATAGAGTCTTCTAGTGCAGCGTCCTTTTTCCTCTACCTGTTCTAACCGAAAACATTATCAATTGGGGAGCCAACTGGCAACAGGGAACCACAGCAGAGGGATGAAAGAGCCACATGCAGCTCCAGAGCCACAGGTTGCTGGCCCCTGGTCTAGGAAGAGAGACTTCTATGCCGCTGCCTCCTGCTTTGTGGAACATCTTGTTCCCAGAGGTGAGGCAAGTCTCCCAATCTCTTGGCCTTCAACAACCATGGGGATAGCTAATCCTTTGAGAGCTTCTCCCTGCCTGTAATAATCCAATAGTGGCCATTTTAGGATTCCCCCCCTCCTTTTGATGTTTAATTGCATTATTCTATAATTTTGAAAAATTTAACCCTAATTAAAATTTTAATTTCTAATGTAAATTGTCATACATTATTTATTGGTCATTGTACAGTATTACCCTCTTTCAGGGAGACAGGTGGTTTAGAAATATGAAATATAAATAAATATCATATTTTGTGTCTCTGCACAATTATGACTACACAGCATGTACATTAATGCAGAATAAGAAGCAATCTTACCTCTACAATTCCTATTTTTCCATCAGAAGTCTTTGAAAAATGGTCCACAAAAGTTTTCATTTCTGGGGTTAAGCCCTGTAAATATAGAGCATGTTGATTAGTCTTTTTTTTTTTTTTAGACAAAGACAAAAAGGTAGCAAGATCACAATCCATCCCGGAAATTTTGCCCAAATTCCAAAACAATGAATTATTGCAATGCAGACTAAACAGAGGCCAACCTTGTTAAACAAGAAAAGGTGTAACCTAATTCATTAAGATATTAACATTAAGAGGTGCCTGGGTATAAGAAAAGAATTAAGTTTTTGAATGGCTGAAAAATAAATTTATAAAGTGGAAAATTTCTGTTTGATTTTGATTAAATTTCAGATTAAGATTTAAATACACAAAGATCTATGAGTTAAAATCAGGATTCTTGTTCTATTTAGCTATAGTGAATATTAATCACTACTCTGTATTCCTGATATTTTCACACATTTCCTTTAAAAGAACTATTTTGCCTCTTGACAAAGTATGTGAAAAGTGTTCCAGAAAGGGAGATATACTCTTTACACTGTGTTCAAGAAACATGATGATTTACTCCTTCAGTCATATGTACTCAACCAGGAGTATGCAGAAGATGGGTGACAATATCCATTCAGATGTACTTTTAAATGCACATAGCAACACAGTAATCCAGGCAGAGTGGGTCAGCCCACTGCCAAATAAATCTTTTTAAAAAAAAACATAAACTAATCATGCATATAACTAAAGACTGGCACAAGAAAACCATGAAACCATCAGCACAGCAGAACATAATCAGAAGTGATTGCCCAGTTTCTTGGGAAAACATTTATTTCCTTTCTGTTCAGAATGGGGTCAGTGGGAAGGTTTAATCGGCACTCAGTTTGGCTGGTACACTGTAAAAGCTCATTTTCTGCCTTGGGGTGAATCTGTATTAAGCTATGCTACATTAAGCTAGTTAGTGTTCCCTATGATTTTTAGTGGGTTTGCTCTAGGCGTAACTATGTTTGGATCTGACATGTAGTTACAGTATACATTATTATCAATGAGCACCTTATGTTGCATGTGAATGCTGACATTTCTCAGACAAAGAGAATTCAGTTACACAGTACTGAATACTGAAAATATATGAATGCAGATAACCAGATGTTGTTGCATGATGGTATTAGGAGTATCATTTTACAATGAAATCTGTTCCAAATAAAGCTGCCTCTTGCAATTGACTAATTTGTCAATGCTGATAATGTTCAAGTGGTGCTCCAGATGTTTTGGGAGTGCATCTAAAGTGCCTATTACTGTTTGTACTATCTTTGCTTTCTTTTGCCATAGTTGTCCTACTTCTACTACATAGCAAGTGCCATGTCTTGTTATCTGCCTTGCCTGCTAGGTTTTTTTTTTAATGTTCTGGCCATGAAATACTTTGTCTTGCCATGTCTCTGTTCTACTCTTCATTTGGTTTTTCTTGTAGGACAGTTTGGTTTCTCTGATATTCATTAAGCCTTTATGGTGTACCAGTTTCAGTGCATCTTATTCATCATCCTTCAGAGATTCTTCTTTAACTGTCTGGGGTACTTGCAACATTCATGCCCTCCCATGCTTGTGGGTAAGTAGAGTCTGTCAACATTGATGATTGGATGATAGACATAATTCAATGTCATTATCTTTCTGGACTTCCTATCCAGGAGCTTTTACCTTTGCTTGGGGCCAGCCCCCTATTCCGGTTGTGTATCTAATGACTGGAGCTGCACAGGTGTTAATTGCCTTGATAGCATTATTTGGACTTTATGATCTTTTTCAGTGAAATGATGCCTTCACTTCTAACATTATTATTAATCTTACAATCAGATGTTTAGTCTGGATTTGTCCTTCTAAGGACCTGGGAGAGGCAAATGAGGTTTAATGGTATTGTCACAGGATGTAAGTTGTTTCAAATAGCTACCTTTTGCAATTGACTGATGGGGATTTTGTCAATGCCTATGGTGTCAGGTGGTGCTTCAGTTCTTTTGGTATCATACCCAACAAGGCACCTATTATGATTGGTACAATCTTTGCTTTCTTTTGCCATAGTTATTTTACTCCTAGTTGCACATCTTTTATTTTGTGATTTTCTCTAGTTCATTCTCTTATATTCTGCTGTCTTCAGGTTCTTCAATGTCCTATATCCAGATTTTGTTTTCTTACTAACAATTGTTAAATCTATTATTATTATTATTATACAATTGTATCACAGCGGCCAGTTGTTTCACCGGATTTGGCATTCGTTACTAGTTGGGCCCCACCCAGGGGCCTAGGACATCGTAACGTACTTTCGTAATATGCGTGCAGATCCAAGCAGTGCGGCTTTTTGCATTTGACTGATGGTGATTTTGTC